TGTTCAAACAGCGCAATTGACAAAGAGATCAAGTCTACCTTAAATCGACGAAACTAGAAATCACTCGACAGGGAACCGGGCCATCAACTTTTGTATCGAAATCAAGTGTCCTGGTCGTATACGTTGGAAGAAAAAGCTTTGCAGACCAGCACCAGAACAGATATCACATCGACTGACGAACCCTGAAATAATACTAATCATCTACTACAAGATCAGACCACCCAGTAGCCTTGTAATGAAAAACAGCCTGACAGCAAACCTATACTAACTACAGTGCATCAATATAGTGTATGAGTCTTGAAGCCCGCACGGAGAATGCAGGCTGCGCAGCTCGACCTTTATTGGAATGACTTCATCTCTATCACGACGCATGACTATGCACCTGCAGGAGGGAACGCCAGACCAACATTTGCGCAAAGCCCACAATCAAAGACTCCTACGCTCTGACCTGAGTGAAAACACACTGATTCTAAAATCCTGTTTACAAACGCCGTTTACACGCCCTCATCAGAAAAAATGCCTGACTTCAACCAAAATATTAAGTTATGGACCTTCCTGGACCTGTTCAGTCGCCCAATGACAGCTGGGTGATTCGGTGTCTTTAACTTTGCATTTTCAAACTGGCTGGCTAGCTCGTAGAGCATGCCTGGTGTTTTACCACATTCGACTGTTTCCTGTCCGACCGTCTTACACTGCCTTGAGAATGGGGAGCGAATATTGCACGTCGTGGAGGCAAACGGATGACGGCCGTGCGTAACAATCTGGGCATTCGCTTGTCGCTTACACACATTTCCCGGCATTAGTAGATTTACGATGCACTTTCATGATAGAAAATTCGCTTCTTACATCCACATCGATGTCAAGAAATTGTTGAAGTTTGTCAGCCATCCAAAATCAAATTTTCGAGGGCATAGGACGGGGTAGTACTGTATTGCCGCTGTTTCAGACGGATTTGTACAAATCAGGCGTGATTAGAAAGCCCGTTGTTGATTCCGGCCTGGGTTATCCAAAGCCAGCCTCCGAGATCATTTGTAGTGGGAAAACCTAAAAAGGACAAACTTTTAAGGTCACAGGAAAATATGGCGTCGCATTGCCGCTGTATGAAACAACTTTATGCAAATAAGGCGTGCTTAGAAAGCCCGTTGTCGATTCCAGTCCTGGGCTTTCGAAAACACCACAAAAAAGTAAAATCCCAAGGTCAAATTCTGGGTCAAAAGACGGGGTAACACGGCACTGCCGTTGTGTGCGACTGTTGTTTAAAAACTGACTTTGATGCTAGTGTTTTTGAAAGGCCAGGCTAGACCCAACAACAGGTTTTCTAATTACATCCTGTTTATACAAATTGGTCCAGTGGAACAGCAATGCGACGCCACGTTGTCCATTGACCTTGAAAACTTTTTTCTGCATGCCTTGGAAAATTGACTTTCAACAACGTTGAAGTTAAACGTTTTGATATCCCCGGCCTGCAATGTACAACGGGCTTTCCAGGACGCGTTTGGCCAAGGGTTCAAGGATAATAATAATCCACAAAGCTTTTCCAGTTACGTTCTGCAGATCCGAAAATAATCCCTTAAGTTTGTCTCACATGTGCCTTGCACAGCCTCACGTCATAGCCATGCAAATATAACAAGGATTTTGCGTCCTGACCATGCTCTGAAAATTTTCCGGGATTCTCCATCAGTGCGGTAAATAACCTGGGACATCTTTCTGATCTGAGATCATTTTTCGCGTTGGCAATGCCAAAGGTCATTCCATAAAACTTCCCAACATGCCGGATATTTTCCGAGATCATCTGCCGGCCGAACGCGTCCCTAATGATTCCTCATTTGTACATATCGGCTCCATACAGCTGCGGTGCGAAGCTTCCCCGTCCTTTGGCCTTGAATTTGACCTTGGATTTTTACTTTGACTCTGCTGTTTTTGAAGGCTGAGGCTGGAATTGACAACAGGCTTTCTAATGACACCTTATTTTTGCACATCCGTCCTATACAGCGGCAATGCCACGTTACCCTGTCGTTTGACTTTGACAATTTGCTTTGAAGCCTCTTGAACAACTACAACGGACATTGAATTTTGACGGTTTAATATCTCAGGCTGGAACTGATGACTGGCTGCTAGACGAGGTGTTATTTGAAGACATCAGTGCCTTACAGCGGCGACACAGCGTGTTTGCTTTGTTTCATCGACTTCTTGAGGTCAATTTGTGTGAGGTAGAGCAAAGTCAACCTGAATTTCATTATCAGCGGCTTGTGCCTGACCCAGAAGCTAATTTTAAGCGGAATCAGTACTAGAAGCGGAATGCGTTGCTGTATACGTCGATTACGACGCCATTCGTGAACAATATCTCCAGATTTGATGGACGTTTACTGGCTCTCAATCAGTGTTGTGCAGCCTGTGCAAGTGTCATTCACAAGTTACGTCTTGCGCCACATAATGGGAAGCTGGACACGGTTGCTAGTTTATACGGAAATAAGGCGTGTAATCAAACGACTAAAGCGCCATAGTCGAGCATGTGAATACAATTGAACACCTTAAACTCGCGGGTAGATATGCCGGAACGTCGCAAGAAAGGGATAAAACACGTGCACATCACGATACTACTGATTCACTCAACGCTTCCAGCATCGCCGCGGCCACCTTTCGGGGACTGGAGCGCTAGAAGTGAGTTTTGGGGTGGCAATTTTGCACGGCAAGTTTGGCAGGACCTTCACGTCATGCAAACGTTCCATGACGCAATCAAACAATGACGTATCGAGTAGGATATTTACTTAATAGTAAAATTATGTTGTCCAGAGCAGTTTTCCACCTCAAGGTATTCACACGACTATAGATGAGCCTTTGTCATTATGCCGGATGCTTGCTTTCGCAACATATATTATATATATATATATATATATATATATATATATATATATATATATATATATATAGGGAGTCTCCCTCTCTCTCTCTCTCTCTCTCTCTCTCTCTCTCTTCTCTTCTCTCTCTCTCTCTCTCTCTCTCTCTCTCTCTCCGTCTCTCTCTCTCATCTCCCTCTCCTCTCGTCTCTCTCTCAGCTCTATTCTCCTCTCCTCTCTCTCTCTCGCTCTCTCTCTCTCTCTCTCATCCTCCTCTCCTCTCTCTCTCCCCCTCTTCTCTCTCTCTCTCTCTCTCTCTCTCTCTCCCTCCTCTCTCTCTCTCGTCTTCTCTCTCTTTGTTTCTCAAACGTGGAATATTCCTTTCAACAATACTCTATTAAGCATATTCGTGGTGCTAGACATTTCTGTTCAATGATCTCTGATGGCAAATAAACGACCGTGTATCTTCCCCTGCCTGTGACTCGCATATAAGACTCCTGAAGAGAAGAAAAGTTGACAAAATATATAAAGGCTCTAAAGGTTTGAAATAAAAACTCTTATTCTTCTTATGAAAACGCACACGAAATTATCCAAGCCTGAAAGAGAGCTGGATGGCAATAGCGTATCCAGTTTTATTTGCTGGTATGAGTTTCACGGGGGAATTCCTGTGCAGTGATGTCGATGAAACACTTAATATAAGCAAGAGCTCACACTTCTGGTTTTTGGTGCTGTGAATTGAAAGTGCTTGTCCTTACAATAATGACCTCCAAGATGTCAGGAAATATTGCTTAACCGGTTAAATAACGTTGTCAAGGAAACATGAGCTTGGCTGACAATACTTGGCGTTTTAAGCTGTTTATGGCTCCGTGGCCATGAGCACAGCGTGCGTCGTCTGATTTTGTTAACGCATCATATCGTTCCTTAGAATCGTTTAACCATTACTCGCTTTTATTTAAGGTTGATTATTGTCATCAGACAAATTCCACCCCATAATGATGTTTGGAAATTACATTCTCAAACATGTCAGCTATGGTCTTAACCGAATCACAAACCTCTGTGCATGGTGCCCGCCGGCCCGCACCGCCCGTCCGCTGGTGCACTGACCTTTGCGAAACATGCCAGCATACACCCGGGGCTTGGCGTTGGAGCGCTGAACCGACCGCAGCCTTTGTGCTCTTTGGGTGACCTCATAGGTCGCAGGAAAGGTGATGGACGGATGCCATTTCGCGCACGCGCGGCCGTGGGCGGCGTTTCATCGCGGCCCTGGGTGGTGGCACGTGTTTCCGGTCGTGGGGACGAGGGCAGGGCTAGTGATGAAGGACTTCCGTCATTCCCATACCCCGGAGCTTTTCAGTTTAACCTCCTTGACTTTTCCGCGTCTTATGGCCCTAGCTGCGCAAGGCCTAGCACGTCCTGTAAACGCTTAGCTACTACGCGTTATTTTGCGGGAAGAACAAACGAGACTTCTTTTTACGAGGGAAGGTGTTGTACTGTTGGCCTGAGCACTGCTCTATACAGAAAATGCATGTGCTTCGTTTCTATGGAGTGATAAACATTCGGCACCGTTTGCGGATCCGGTTACTGGGTTCGGGGACCAAGCCATTTGTCGAAATTACACGATCTGCCGGCAGTCCTTCATAGCATGAAACAACAAATGCATGAAACTATGATATCAATTCCTGCACCACGCTTGGAAATGCGAATAATGGGGCTCTGAGCATGACGGTAGATCGAATAATCGCTTGCAGTTCTTTGTATAGAGGCACACAACGAAGCAAACACTGATTTGTTCGGCGCGGGAGCCGACACTCGCGATCTATTCCGTTCAGCTAGGATCGTCCGCCACTTATCTCACCGATTTTGAACCGGAAGTACGCACGTCTTCCAGTTTTGAACGTGCAGCCTTATTACGCGAATGACATTCGACGATGATGTCAACAGTGCACCGTCCTTGAAAGGCCGTTGAATGACAGGCGCCATGCTCAGCGCCGCGACGGGTTTCCGTGTGATTTAGATCGCAGCAAGTTTGGGTTATTCCTTATGAATGCTGGGAAAGAAGTCCTCATTGGAGCTTTACGCACTTAGCTGGGCAAGAACGTCGTCGCAGCACATGCCCAAAATGACTTCTTCACACGGATAATCTATCCGCAGGCCAAACAGCGGTCGGTGTATGTATAAGCTTGCTTTATTCGTAATCGGTCCTTACGACTAAGAAACAGCTGTTTCGCCATCCAAGCAGACCTGCTACCAAACCAAAGGGAAGCAGTAGTGATCGTTTGCTTCCGCGAGACATCACATATTTTATAGATATTGTCCACTCTTGGAAAACATGTCATCACCGCTTGACACTGCAGAGCACCCATCCTCCCAGTAGGCAATTGCAGTACACCAATAACGATAAACAGCAAGTCATAACCTAGGGCCATCCAGTCCGGGCGGTACGCTGCTCGGCGCCAACACTGGGGGGCTCCCGGTAACCGTGCCTCAGTCGAGCGCAGTCTAGCAGACTATTTCAGATCGTCCTTGAGCACAAGTTCAAAAACCGCTCACACACACTTCAGACGCACCATCACACAGCGTGGACCCCGCCATACCCTCTGACCACCGTCCCCGCATCGTTTTTGATTCGCCTTCTTCCACTTTCACTCCTCGCGACGTTCACAAGCTTCTGGTGTCAAACAAAAACAGACCCCTGACGCGCGCCTCGCGCCGGGTTCGTCCGGTGGCCACCGCGAGGCCACGCCCCGTCCCTCTCAGCTGATTGGCTGCAGAGGCGTTTCATCGTCCTTGACCAGCTCAGCCCCACACTGATTGGCTGCACCGACGTCCCGCTCACTCTGATTGGCTCCGTCCTTCGAAGCTGATTGGCTACCGCGATGCCTGGCCCTCGCGGGCCTCCTCGGTGCCGCCGTTGGTAGGTCGGTGCTTCTGCTCGATGCTGATGTATTGACGAATGAGACGCGAGATCTCGTGGGCGTTGTCCGACTGAATTCTGACGACCTTCTGCTGCATCAAGTTGCCGTACTTCATGTCCAAGAACAGGGTGCCCTCCTCCGTCTTCACCTTGCGGGTCGATATCACCTCGGAGAAGGGGTACCTCGCCAGGGTCTCCTGTGCAAGTAAGGGGGATCTGATGTTGTAGTGTTCTAGAAATACGTCCTAATACCAGAGACGTTCATTTGCCATTACAAGAAACATTGCAAATCAACGTCCAAAATCCTCAACTCATTACAAGGCGAACGCCAGCCCCATAGGCAATTTCGTACCATACTGCTAGCTGGTTTAACCATGGACTAAAAAACTAACACCTGACACTGCGTCAAGTCGCTGAATGTTTTCAGCATTCACTGGCAGTCACAAGGTTAGTCTGTCACAGACACGTAGATTGCTTGTCTGTTGGCTCCCGTCGGCATGATTGGCTGTTGTCCCCAAGGAGCAGTAGTTTCTAACAAAGTCCATGTATGTCCTTTTACGTCACTGTTTACCTGTGCAAGACCGAAATACCCCACCGCCTCGCTGCTGATTCGCATGAGAGTCCACTAACCTCGCTACTAGCTACTCAGCCACGACACTTCTGATGCTCCAGTAATGAACCCGCCCCATGAATGAATACGTCCTTGACAAACTCGGCAATCATTGCAGCGGCGGCCCATCGGCGGCCGGCACTCGGCGCGCCAGGCGGCGGTCAGGCTACCGTCGGGCCACCGTTGGACCACCGTCGGCCCACCGTCGGGCCACCGTCGGGCCGCCGTTGGGCTGCCATTTGGGCCACCGTCGGGCCACCGTCAGACTGCCGTCGGGCCGCCGTCGGGCCGCCGTCGGGCTGCCGTCGGGACACGGTCGGGCCACCGTCGGGCTGCCGTCGGGCTGCCGTCGGGCCACCGCCGGGCCTCTGCCGGGCCACCGTCGGGCTGCCATTGGACCACCGTCGGGCCGCCGTCGGGACACGGTCGGGCCGCCGTCGGGCCGCTGCCACTGCCGACTCACGTGCGTCACGCTGTCCAGGAAGTGGACGCCGCCGCGGTTCAGCGCCAGGATGTGGTCGACGGCCTCGCGGCTCTCCGTCACGCGGCTGACCGCAAAGAACGACGAGCCGAACAGAGGCCACCGCTCCAGGATCTCTGGCGGGCGCGGGCCGGGCGGCTGTCAGTCGCAGGTCCCGGGGGAGGGGGTCCCGGCGGCGCCGCGGGTCACCACGCGGGTGACCGACGCGCGCCGGCCGTGACGCGGCGGCCAGACCGCGACAGGCTTGTGGCGGGGGGGGGGGGGGGGGCGCACAAGACTGCATGCCGGGGGAGACGCCGAAATACTCCGGGGAATGTCCTGGGGCGGGCATGACAGCTGACGCGCTCATTAAGAGGCAGGATAACCAAAGTAACACGCACACAAACACGCGTGCACGCAAACGGTGACGACCAGAAATGCGCACAGGCTTCATCTAAGCAGGCGCTGCGTCCACGGGCGCCAAGAGTGTGGCCAAGTGTGGGGACATGTGAGGGGGCCCACAGAAGCGAATCCAGCAGACCTTGCCGCTCCCAGGCGTTAGAAACTGGTAGAGGCTATCTGGTAGATTTACCACTTCTGGAGTTGTAGACATCCACTGATAAAGCGGCATTCACAGCCGCCGGATCCGACTGCGCCAGTGTGCAACCAAAGCACGTAACAACCAGACTCGCACACATGTATGACCCCTCTGAATCGAAAACTGGGATACAAGGTGGCCAGCAGAGGCCGCAGCCCGCAGCAGGGCCCTCCCACTCACCGAGCACGGCCGCCTTAGCCTCCATCGGCGTCTTCTCCTGTACCTCGGTCCAGCTGCCCTGCACCATGTTGACCCACTGGGGCGGCTTGATGTCGCGCACCATAAGCGCCGCCTTGGGCAGCAGGTACTTGGTCTCCTTCATCGTCGGCATCGCCTGCATGTCAGCGGCGCGGTGCAGCAGCGCCGCCACCCGCGAGATGTCGTACTGCAAGGGCACGGACACCTCAGCACCATCTAGAGGAAAATTCGGCACTATATTGCCGAAGCTAACGGGACGCTGTCAAGTGAAATATTTTTTTTTTTTTTTTGTTGGCATCAGTAAAAAAGCAGTCACAAAACTTAGTGACTGGGTGAAAAGCTTTATCCACAGAAAAACACTGAATATGAAAACGGTCATCGAAGACGTTTACAAGCGCCTGAATGTTACTAAGAACACAGCGCCTTACAAGAGGTCACATAAACATGCTGCATGGTTTTTGGCGCTAACATTAATATGAAATGTACGAACTATTTTCCTCACCGGGAAACAGATGGAGACCAAATTATTTCATGACGAAGCATTATACCACATACCCCGCATAACCAACGACGCCGACAGCACGTCGACATAACGTGGGCATCGACCACTGCTGCACGTCGGTCCCTCGACAGCACGCCCGTTCTTTCACATACCCCATGACGTCAGCACAAATCGGAGTATCTAGCGCCTAGCGGTCGGTGCCCCAACGGCTCTGTGGCCGCTGCCCGGCCGGTCGTTGGCCGCCGGCGCCGGCTAACTCACCACCACCTCCTCGTGCAGCGTCTCGCCGGGCATGACCAGTAGCAGGCCTTCGAGGTAGTCGGGCGCGATCTGGTTGAACACCACCTCCACGTACAGCGGCGACTCCAACCGCAGCGGGAAGTACCACACCGAGCGGCAGAAGATCAGGTAGAAGATCTGCGGTGGTAGGTGGCGCCAACGACGAGTTAGAGGGCGCCGCACCGCACGACGGCAGCTATGGGCGGCCGCGCACGCTATGGGCGGCCGTGCACGCTATGGGTGGCCGTGCACACTGTGGTCGGCTGTGCGCGCCGCACGGCACGGCGGCAGCTATGGGCGGCCGTGCACGCTATGGGCGGCCACGCACATTGGGACATGAGGTTATGCACGCCTGCATGGGAACATGTTCTTGAAAGTGCTGCTACAGGATATTCTGTGATTGTCATACATCAGCTTGCATTTGACGAGCACGCCGGTGATTTCTTGCGACATATATTATCACAGGCCCCATTTACACACGAGTAACTTAACTCAGCCAACACACAACAACCGTGCAGAATGCGAGACAATGGTGTCGTGATGCATATGCATTTTGTCCCTGCACCAGGCGCTGGGTGGAGGACGCTCCCCACCACAGACGGGCCGCCGCCGCCCAGCCACCCCAGCGCACCTGCTCGTTCTTCTGCAGTTCGGTTGTCACGTCCAGGATGTACTCCTCCCGCGCCAACGGCATGGTGAACGTGTCGCCCTCGACGATGCAGTACAAGCTGAACTCCTCCATCTCGTCCCGCGACCGGATCTTGATCACCGAGCAGATGTCCTCGATGATGTCCTGACGAGGGCACATGTCACGACCGGCTGGGATTTGTAAACCGCGCGAGATTTGTAAACCGCGCGAGATTTGTCAACCGCGCGAGATTTGTCAACCGCGCGATATTTGTAAGCCACGCGAGATATTTAAATCGCGCGAGACTTGTAAACTGCGCGAGCTTTGTAAACTGCGCGAGACTTGTCAACCGCGTGAGATTTGTAAACTGCGCGAGAATTTTAGGTCGCGCAAGATTTTTAAGTCGCGCGAGATTTGTAAGCCGCGTGAGATTTGTGAACCGCCCAATAGAGTGCTCAACAGAGAGGGGTGGGGGCAGTCATTTCGGGCGGAGGACGATTAGCATTGCCGGCCTCGCCTCATCACATTCCAGTCTCCAACTGACACGACCTTCAAGTCCAGGACTCCCATGTGGCACAAATAAGAAATGGGACGTTAAGAACTAAAAAACAAAGCATACTAGCTACTACTAGAAACACTACTTGCATACTAACCAGCCACGCACAAAGCCACATCTGAGCAATTAACTCGCTGATCGCATTCATTTCACCTGCACCATGCTTAAGCCCTACTTTTGGTGTTTCCACCTCGTTCATCCTGGGTCCTGCTGGTGCCCCCCGCTCTTGGTGACCGCACGTCGTCTCACCTGGACAACGCTGGTGCTCTTGGTGTTGATGACGCGCTCAGTACCGCCGGGCAGCCGGTAGATCTGGCGCTTGGAGTTGCGTCCGGCAGTGATGGCCGTGATCTCCTCGATGCTCGGCACGTTCTTGCGGCCGCCGAAGCGGAACGTCTTCCTCAGGTTCTGCAGACACACCATGGCCGTGCCTGCCGACCGCAGAGGAGACGGTGTTGACACGGCGTCAGACACGCGGCGGTGACACACAGCCGGCCGCAGGGGAGACGGTGTTGACACGGCGTCAGACACGCGGAGGTAACACACAGCCAGCCGCAGGGGAGACGGTGTTTACACGGCGCCAGACACGCGGCGGTAACACACAGTCGGCCGCAGGGGAGACGGTGTTGACACGGCGTCAGACACGCGGCGGTAACACACAGCCGGCCACGGGAGAGACGGTGTTGACACGGCGTCAGACACGCGGCGGTAACACACAGCCAGCCGCAGGGGAGACGGTGTTGACACGGCGTCAGACACGCGGCGGTAACACACAGCCGGCCACGGGAGAGACGGTGTTGACACGGCGTCAAACACGCGGCGGTAACACACAGCCAGCCGCAGGGGAGACGGTGTTGACACGGCGTCAGACACGCGGCGGTAACACACAGCCAGCCGCAGGGGAGACGGTGTTGACACGGCGTCAGACACGCGGCGGTAACACACAGCCGGCCACGGGAGAGACGGTGTTGACACGGCGTCAGACACGCGGCGGTAACACACAGCCAGCCGCAGGGGAGACGGTGTTGACACGGCGTCAGACACGCGGCGGTAACACACAGCCGGCCACGGGAGAGACGGTGTTGACACGGCGTCAGACACGCGGCGGTAACACACAGCCAGCCGCAGGGGAGACGGTGTTGACACGGCGTCAGACACGCGGTGGTAACACACAGCCAGCCGCAGGGGAGACGGTGTTGACACGGCGTCAGACACGCGGCGGTAACACACAGCCGGCCGCAGGAGAGACGGTGTTGACACGGCGTCAGACACATGGTGGCAACACAACAGTCGGACGCAGGGGAGACGGTGTTGACACGGCGTCAGACACATGGTGGTAACACAACAGTCGGACGCAGGGGGAGACCACACAGCTGGCAGCAGTGGGGTGGCCTGGGCAAAGGGAGGACAACAGGGGACGGCGTGTTGCGTGCATCACAGCATTACGTGGGACTGGGACTGACTTGATACGTGGCAGGGAGGATCAGCGAAAAGGCTGTCAGCTCTCGGCGAGCATGGATTATGATCACTGATGAGCTGTACAGAAAAATTTGATGCAAAAACCGTTTAAACAGATTTGCAACCATGCAAATTGGCTTATGCAGCTCCGGCAGTGTTCGAAAAATAACAGCCTTGAAAAATTTCGCGATCCAGTTGTTGCAACGAGTCGGCAAAAAAGGTTCAAAACCTCCCCTTCCCTAATATGTTTTGGTCTCGTCTCACTCCATGCTCATTGTGCCGAAGCGGGCGCCAGCACAACAGTGCCAACGCAGTACGCCAGACGTCAGCAGCGTCGGACTGACCGTGATAGGCGCGCCGTTTGTCGTAGGCGGCCGTCTCCAGGTATTTGAAGAGGTAGGGCCGCAGGCCGTCGGAGCAGGCGAAGTAGGCGGCCACGATGCTGAACAGCCGCCAGCCGCGCTGGCACGAGTCCGGCTGATTCGACTTGTTGCTGGTCGTCTGACGCATCAGCTGGCAGAACACCTCATCCCGGAGAGGTGGAAACCGGTGGCACGCCTGTCAGGGAGGCGCGCGTCTCAACGACAGGCAGCAGCCGGCGGTACACCTCATCCCAAAGAGGTGGAAAGCCGGCCAGAGGGGGGGGGGGGGGGAAGGGGGGTGACGCGTCTGAACGCCAGGCAGCAGTCGGAGGTACACCTCATCCCAGAGAGGTGGAAAGTCGGCCAGGGGGACGCGTCTGAACGGCAGGCAGCAGCTGACGGTACACCTCATCCCGGAGAGGTGGCAAGCCGGTCAGTGGGAGGAATGCGTCTCAGAGGCAGACAGCAGCTGACAGTTAACCTCAACCCGAAGAGGTGGAAAGCCGTCCAGGGGAGGAACTCGTCTGAACTGCGTCAATAAGTCATCAGCCACCAGTCCCCTGTGTTCTGAAACCTGCTCATGAGTTCCTTTGAAATTTCTCGTTGCATGTATAAACACAGCTGCCTAATTTTTCTTTTCTACGCCGCTTTCGAGCGACCTTGGACAAGAGCAGTTTGCAGAGCAGCAGACAAAAGCAGCAGTGCCGCTTTGCGGCACCTATTCACTATGGGCCCGATTTCAAAACGTCCATAGAAAGCAACACACCACCTCCCCGTTGTTCCAATCGCTGGACATGCCGGACCTGTATCTGATATCGAGCATGCCTGCGCCGTTGAAACGCTTGCTCCAGAATGGCCTTTCACGGCATTCATAACGCCGCGACCTCCTTACGGGGCCACTTTTTACCTCTCCTGGCGGCACCAGGGTGCAACGACCTTCCACACACGGTCAGAGGAGTTTTTGCTCGCCGCCCACGGCGTCTATCAAGCCGCACGACAAGCAACTCTTGCCTTTTCAAAAGTACGAGACACTAACCGCGTGTCGCAACACGTCGCTGCCCCTGGTTCACCGGAGGTCTCGCGTCCGAGCTCCGGTGCTTGCTCGCCTGGTACGAGCCGGCGCGCATGGCGTTGGCGGGCGACTCCCGCGCGGACCGGTCCCTCACCATCAGGATGGTGTAGACGCAGTCGACCTCGGCCATGTTCTTGCCCATGGCCTGGTCGCCCATGTAGCGCTGGATGGAGAGGAAGCACTCGAGCGCCAGCTTGTTCATCTCGCCCGACTCCAGCTTGAGCAGCGACGCCTGCAGCGGCTGGTTGGTCCACTTGACCATCTCCACCTGTGGCGGGCGGCGGCGCCGGGTGTCAGCGGGGAGTGCCGGGACACGGCGGCCTCGCACACGGATGCGTTAGCTGCCGCAAAAGACGACAAGGCACAGCGGGCGGCAACACCGGGCGACAGCGGAGCTGACGTTAGCGGTGAGCGCCGAGACACGGCGGCCTCGCAGACGGATGTGTTGGCCGCCGCAGACAGTGTCAACGCACGTGCAAAACCGCTACACCGAGGATGCAAAAGCGAAGGGAATGGCCATGGCCCCCCGCATGTTACATTCACATTGTCACATGTCACATGTCACATTGTTTGACATCCATCGGATGAGACTCATGGCAGGAAGACATGAGATGGAGCGTGTGGGCACAGGATAGCATCGACTCCCTGGAACACCCACACGCTCCTGGTCCAGACCTGGCCACGAGAAAGTAGCCGCATGCGCCGTAAAGTTCAGCTCGCTGCAGACCCACCGTACGCCAGGGAAGATAACGGAGCTCGTGTGAAAAGCAACGACATGGTGCCTGAGTGCGCGGACCGAGACTGTTGCGAATACTTCCCTCGCACGGGCGGTGCTCGACACGAGAGCAAACTGGGACCGCGGGGGCTTTCCTCAGTGGTGATGCTCATCAGGTGTTCTCGCGGTGTATCTTAACTGCTCCCGTCTTTTCATCTCACCTGTTCCCGCCACGTCCAGTCCTCCTTGCCCTTCTTTTTGCCCTTCTTCTTGCTCTCGAGCTTCATGGAGCCGGTGATCTCGCCGTCTTCACTCCTGAGCATGTTGTACCTGATGGCGGATAGACGGCGGTAAAGAAATTGAAGAGGTGTCACATCCAGGCTCACCTGGTATCCAGAAGCGCATGCAATAATAACCGTTAATTTACATTTAGAGATGGTTAGGTGCACTGGAAAAGCACCCCACGGAAAACTAGAACCTCTAAGTCAAAAATTTCGAAGCAGTTCCAGAAAGTGCTCGAACATTTGGCTGATAAATCCTATATCCATTACATGCCAATATTTGTCGACACACACACACACACACACACACACACATATATGTATATATATATATATATATATATATATATATATATATATATATATATACATAGCCAACAGCGTCAGCCGCTTGGTGGCAGCTGACAATATGGTGACAGTAAAGTAAAATATGCTACCCTTGACTTTCGTAAATACGCTGCGTGACTCAGTTGATAGCGGCCTTTATCTGTGTACCATTTCAGATGGCACTCACTTCTCCTCAGCATCTCGGAAGTGTAGCATGGCATACTGTAGCAGCGAGTGCTTGCCGTCGTCGGGGGCGGGGCCTGGCGGCTTGTCGCCGCCCGCCGCCGGGCTGTGATTGGACGTCTCGCTGTCCGACTCCGCCTCCAGTCGCTCGCCGTCCAATGGCCGCTCCGACCACAGGTCATGCGACTCGGGAGACTCGGCCCCCGGACCCACGTGACCGGTGCCGTTCGTCAGGGAAATCTGAAGCAGCGGGCGGCGAAGGTGAGGACGTGCGCGACTTCGCAGGTTTAGTCGCCGGAATGAGGGAACCAGAGCCGCACTCGTCATCGGCAAGGTCAGTCATTCAAGGTCGTGGCGACGTCACGCAACTACGCTAAATGCCCGTAATAAGGGTCTGCTGCGACGCACAATCCTGTGACGTCAGAGGTGACGACCTCGGTCAACCGCGAAGCCCTCCTCCCAGTGAAGACCAGGCCTCAGGAGCCAGCTGTGGAGAGCACGACAGCCCATCGCAACAGAGAGTAGTGAACGGAGGTCATCGCCAGCTGGCTGCTGATTGTGAAATGCACAACACAAACCTGAACAAGACATGGACACAAAGGACGAGGAGCTGAAATCTGTCCACGGTGTTTCTACATACGCATGGAAGCAAGATGGCTCGGGAGTAAGCTTTATCTTATGCGATGAATGAAATGCCCAAACAATACAAAACGTGTGTGACCATCTGACCTTGAAATACGCTTTCGGTGTTGCACGCAATCAAGTAAATTGAAGAAATGCATGAGATAACGCTGGACGATTGCATAAGCACAATCGTTAACAACACAACCAAACGAGCTGAACAAACATATCTGACTACAAATGCTCGCAGCCTCGTCCTCTGGCTGGAGCATTGAGCCCTAACGCATGACAAGTGGACGTTACACTCAACTAGAAGGATCAGCCAGAGCATCCAAATAGCCCAGCGACGCCGAACAGGCCAATGAGAGACCGGCACTCCGGTATTATCGCATCTCTTGACTGATGCACCATTCCGTCCGTGTCATCAGATTACACGACTGCCCAGTAATTTGGCGAGCCGTTGGGCAGGAGCGAAGTCAGCACACTACCGTGAGGTCGCCGCCACCTACGATGCGCCTCTCGTGACGGTCCGGCCGGCTACCATACCGTACATGCCTCTGTCGCCAGTCCGCCCGACCGCGGTCTCGGGGTCTCCCTCTAGACTGTGCCTCGCCGCGCCTCTGGAGGCGGAGCCGGCGGGGCGGCGCGCGTTCGGCCGGCCCGGTTATGCCCGGACCGGCCCGCCTCATTACCCCGCCCATGTCACGCACGAGCGCCCGCCGACACCAGCCTCCATGGCTCGGCCGGCCGCCGCCCGCGGTAACCCTGCCCGGCGGCGGCCGCCGCCCTGGCGCCGCGCGTGCAGCTGCGCACCGGGCCGGGTCAGCGTGAGAGGCCCGTCACCGAGCCGGCGCGACTCGTGACTCGTGACTCGTGACTCGTGACTCGTGACTCGTTCAGCCGACACTGGCGAAGGTGACGCGGAGTTCGTTGGGCAACGGTTGTGTGTTGGACAGAATCCACCAAAACCGCTGGGCGAATGAGTGCTCGCGAAGCGGCCAGGATATCACGCGTCTTAACAATCGCAGTGCAGAGAAAACGGAGGGGAAAGGGCGCAACACTCAAAGCTGAGAGGCCAGGACTGCTCACACTGCAGAGGTTGCGAGTTTGG